ATGTCAATACCATGTAGTTTTTTATTACTACAGCTCTGTAGTACAGCTTGAAATCAGGAATGGTGAAACCTCTGGAAGTTCTTTTATTTAATAGGATTGTTTTTAGATATCTTGGGTCTTTTTCTTTTCCATATAAAGTTGAGTATTCTTTTTCAAGGTATATAAAGAATTATGTTTGAATTTTGATGGGGATTGTATTTAATCTGTAGATTGCTTTTTGTAGGTGGGCTGTTTTTACTATGTTAACCCTACCAATCCAAGAGGATCTTTTCATCTTCTGATACCTTCTTCAATTTCCTTCTTCAAAGACTTGAAGTTTTTATCATACAGACTTTTCTAATTTGTGTAGTTAGATTTACCCCAAGATATTTTATATTATTTATGGCTATTGTGAAGGATGTCATTTCCCTGAATTCTTTCTCAGCCTGTTTGCCATTTGTGTATAGGAAGGATTTTTTAAAAAGTTAATCTTGTATCCTGCCACTTTGCTTAAGGTGTTTATCAGGAATAGGAGTTCCCTGGTTTAAAAAAAATTGAAGTAACTTATGTAGTAACTGTTATATCATCTGCAGATAGCAATACTTTGACTTCTTCCTTTCCAACTTTTATCCCCTTGATCTCTTTTAGTTGTCTTATTGCTCTAGCTAGAACTTCAAGTACTATATTTATTTAGTATGGAAAGAGTGGACAGCCTTGTCTTGTTCCTGATTTTAGTGGAATTACTTTGAGTTTCACTCCATTTAATTTGATGTTTGGCTATAGGCTTGCTGTAAGTTGACTTTGTTATGTTTAGGTCAAATTGCATATACATTCAGGAGACAGAAAGCAATAAATGCTGACATTCAGCTAGCTTTCTCTTCTTTTTTTCTGTCCAGAACTCCAAGCCAGGGAATGTTATATTTAAGGTTTATCTTCCTACTTCAATTAACCTAATTTAGATAATTTATCAGACATGCATATATGTCTCCAAGGTGATTATAGATACTCTAAAAATTACAATGAATATAAAATGTCATAATCATTTTGATTAAAACTAGCAACAAGACTATAGTGATTAAGAGCCTGAACTCTAGAATCAAATGGTATGGATTTTAATACCACTTGCTAGTAGTATGAGCTTAAGCACATTACTTAATCTCATTATGCCTAAATTGTTATAATCTGTAAAATGGCAATATACTTTTTTCATTGAATTTTGACAATTAAACTATATGATGCATGTGAAGTGCTTGACATGATATCTGTTATCAGTTATGTTATTGTTAATTTTAATATTGATATCTAGTAATGGCAGGTTTTAGGATGTTGTATGACCACTGTTGTGTTTTGTTGCATTATATATTTTTTTTCATCAAAGTATGAGGTAATTAAAAGAATGAGTTAGACTTTTAATTTTTTGAAAAATTCATATATGCTTATAATTCTAACCTACCTTCCCTTCCTGCCAATTATGTTATTGTTAAAATTTAATATTTTTAATTTTAAGTTTCAATATTATTAAATTTACTGTTAATTATAATATTAATTTTAATTTAAATATTACTAGTAGGTTTTAGGATGCTGTATGACCAGTGTTGTGTTTTATAGCTTCTCTGTTATGGCTTGGGGATGCACTGTTAATAAAGTTGAGAACTTAGGGGCCAGTTTATTATTATCCTCATTTTACAGAATAATAATATTAGATTATTCCCTAAGGCCTGTGACCTAACTATCTGTGAGGTTTTGGTCCTACTTAGCCATATCAGGCATGAGTTCCATCTTGTGGAGCACACTTTAGATCCATGTAGTGATTTGGGTAGCTGGGTATAGAGGGGGGATTCCGGCATTGATGGTAAAAGTATTGGCAGGGGTGACAGTGGTAATGTTTATTCAAAGGTGGCAGTGGTCATAGAAATAAATGGTGGAGGAAGATACCAAAAAGTGATTAAAATACTGGAAACAACCATTTTATTTGTTACTTTTCTGTTGCTCTAAAACATACTTATCAGAAGCAACTAATGGAGGAAAGATTTTTTTTTTTCGTTTATGGTTCCAGAGGATTAAAGAGTCCATTGTGGTCAGGAGGCATGGCTGCAAGCAATATTCATGGTGGCAGGAGCAGGAAACAGATTATATCATGAAGCAGAGAGAGAACTGGAAGTGTAGGGCAGAACTGTATACTCTCAAAGTTTACCTACAGTGATATACTGCCTCCAGCAATGCTGCAACTCCTAAGCATTCCTAAGCAGTGTCACCAATTGGGAACCAAGTGTTCAAATGCTTGATGGGGACATTTCTCATTCAAAGCATCACATTTGTTTAATCCCTGTTAAAGTCTGGTTTATCACTAAAATATGTCATCCTGGTGCTAGTTCTATCAAAAGGGGTATCTATTTTATCTTTAAAAAAATCATTGGATGGTAGCGATCACTTTCTGCATGCTATTGACATTGCAAGCAGTGTTGGCAGCTACAGAACCAAATGATCCATAAGATCCAAGTAGTAGCAAATCAGTACAAACAAAATCAGGGAATAGGAAAACAAATAGCTTAACTTTGGGTACATGTATATGCTGGAAAACCATTTTGCTGAGAGAACTAGCTCCAGCAGGCCAAGGAACTGGAGAGGAGGTGTGTAGTCAGTAGAAAGTATATAAACAAAGGAGACCTTTCTGAGAAAGCAAAGTGTAATTTTTCAATTTATTTCTCTCTTACTTCTCTTCTGTCTCTTTGTTTTTCTCTTATCTCTTTTATGTCACCTAAGACAAAAATTTATATACAAGGGAAGATTACCACACAGCCACAAGTTACATATGTTCAAAAAACAAATTAAAATCTTTACATAAGAACATACATGAAGATCACAAGTTACAAGTTACATGTTTTCCTTAGAAGGCCACAAATAGTTAAACATGTTTCTTTGTATTAATTTTCCCACCATAACACATTTTCACCAAAAAGCAATGATCCTTAGCAAAGTTTTAAGCAAGCCAAGTATATTTCAGCCAGTTCCTTTTGTACTGGCCAGAAGCTGTTGACAGTTTGAGTATAGCAGATTCCTACCCTATTTCTACTCTGTAAGCCTTAAACAAGTGGTCTAGCTAACCATCTATTTTTCTTTACACACAACAGAGTCATTTAATTTTGTTTCACAACTTTGTTTTTAAAGGTACATACCAGGGCCTGTTATTAATTATGTAAGCTACATGACCAAAAAACTCAGGCCTAACCTTGGGTATAGGGACATAATTGTTTTCTTTAATTGTCATTGTTTTCCCCCAGGCACAATTCATGGATCTATAATGCATGAAACTTTCTTGTTCTTTCCATCCTCTGCTAATCTCACATCTGACAAAGGGGAACGTGACTTCTAGACCAATTTTGCCTTGTTTGTATCTCTTATTGGAGCAATTGGCAGAATAACCTAAACCATTTCCTTAATCATCTTTACTAACTGTCCTAACTACCTATATCTTTCAATTATTGATCCAATTTAAGCATCATTTCTTTATAGAAATCATCCTCATTATGATCTGCAATTGAATTTCCCAGTGAGGAGAATCACTATACTAAATACAGTGGTATCCTTTCACATAGTAATCACACCATGTCAAATACAACAAGAATATAACAGCAGTGAGCAGGAGAAAGCACAGTAGAAGCAAAGGCCACTCTGGAAACAATCTCCCTGGGGCTTTGTCCCTACAGGAACCCGTCATATCTTTCCTCTCTGATGAGCTATATTCTACAAGCTCTGTTGCTGACTGCAACTGCTCTGACATGGCCACTGACACCATTTTCTAGTGCAGAATACACACACACACACACACACACACACACACACACACACACAAATAAATAGATAGACAGATAAACAGATAAATAAATGCCCCCCCAAACCTATGTGCTATGGTATTTGATAGGAATGTAGTAATGGAATCCTTGTCTTCAAAACTATGTTATGTAAGGAACACAACAGAATTGCTTCTGAGTAACTAAAAAATAGAGAGATGTTACTAGCCACACTTGCCTCTTTTTGAGGAGTATCAACATTTGCTATTCTTAAGATTATACATAAATTTTTTAGACTGGCATTCTTGCCTGAAGGTGCTATTAGATACCACTGGAGTCTGGAAAAAAAATTCTACTCTGTAAATAAAGCTAATTAAACATCTGTGTAATTTTAAAAAGTAAATACTTTAATGTTTTTTCTTAATAGTTTAAAAATTGAGATCAACTAAAGCATTTTATGTTAATGTTTAGTAGTGTAGTAAGACTAGCAATTTGCTTTGTGATTTTGACAGATACTTAAGTTAATATTTGAGTGTGGCAGAGCCATTCAAATTCTTGATGTTTTAGCACAGCTACCTTAACTGTTGTTAACATGGTTCCTCTGTACATGTCGATTTACTTTCATGCTTGTACTTGACTTCCTAGTATGTGTAGCTGAATAGACCACCATTTTAAGCATTATAAAACTATTTTTCCATATAAGCATTTGAATAATAATTTACAAAAGCATACTCAATAACATGGTATCCCACAACTTCTTGACAGTGAAGAATGTTACTTGTTCAAGTCATAATCTTTTTTTAATTAATTTTTAAAATTTGTTTATATATTTATGTGTTCTCCAAGCTATGTGTACATATGTATGTTTGCATGAGCATGCACACACATATACACATCTGTATCAGTATCCATAATAAGAATGATAGGAAATATTTTTTATTTAGTCTCTCATATATTACATCCTGACCTTAGTTTACCCTCCATCCTCTACTTCCAGTTCCCTTCCTTCCTACCTCCCTTCTTCCCAAATCCACTCCCCCTCTTTTCACTTCAGAAAAGGGCATGCCTGCCAGGGATATGAACCAAATATGGTAAATAAAATTGTAATAAGACTAGGCACATACCCTTATAGTAAAGCTGGGTGAGGCAATCCAGTAGGAGGAAAAGAGTTCCCAAAGCAGGCTAAAGAATAAGAGACAGCCCCTGATCCAATTATTAGGAATCCCACAAGAAGACTAACCATAACACATATTCAGAGTGCCTAAGTGACAGCCTTACCAATAAGTAAGAATATTCTTTTCCATGGCCAGGAAGGGAAACTGCTATACCAAACAGGTCCCAAAGGTTTACTATTTCTGTGATGAAACACCATGACCATAACCAACTTGGGGGAAGAAACAGTTTATTTTTCCTTGTAATGTCACATCACTGTTAATTGAGGAATATCAGGGCAGTAACTGAAACAGGGCAAAAATCTCAAAGCAGAGCTGATGCAGAAGCCATGATAGAGTGTATCTTACTGGATTGTTCCTTGTAGCTCTGCTCTAGCTAACTATTGATTCTGAATAATCAGTCTATTTGAAAAGGGAATGAAGGAAAAAGGGGACATTTGAATTAAACAGAATTAGTATAAGTATGGTTCAGTACTAGAATATTTGTCTACCATGGTCTAGGCTCAGGGTTCCATCCTTAGAACCATGAAAATAACATAATTGATTAAAATAAAAACTTGTGGGTTGTTACTAGAAATCATTCATAGCCAGTGCCAAGAATAAAACAACTTATGATTGTTTTCTAGTCTGTAACTTTCAAAACTACCAGCAGAAATCTTGCTCGAGCCATGTGTATGAAGAATATCAAGCTTACTGTCATCATCATCATTGTATCAATTGTAAGTTTTTGTCTCTTTAGTATATGAGCCTACTTTTTACTCTAAGATATTAGGTGATGGAATTCTTATTGATTGATATTCTGAAATGGGCTACATTCACCTTTTTAATTGTAAAACATATGATTATGAAATATGTTGTGAAAATAGCATAAAGTATCATCTCCATTTAAACTCCTTTTTCATTTTAAGAATTTCTGTACATAATGAGATAAATAAAACTGTGGTTGAGGACATGACTCAGTGTTTGAAATAACTTGTTCTTTAAGCAAGAGGACTTGGGTCCAAATCTTCAATGCCCACCTAGTATCTTTTCGTGCTTGTAACCCCAGCATGTGTGGTATAGACATGTAGATCCTGGGAGCTTGTTGGTTGGGCAGATGAAAAGGTGAGCTCCATGTTCAATGAGAGATACGGTCTCAAAAAATAAATAGGAAAACAGTAGAGGAAGACACTGGAGGTACTCTGGCTTCTGCATATACACTCACAAGTATGTACACACACTTTTATTATGTAAAACTTTCAACTAGTTTAGTCTGTACACAAATTTACAGGAAGTAATAATGTGATTTCATCTGTTCAACATTTGTTAGCTACATGCTATGTATTTTAACATTTATCCAAACTCATGATTGAAGCCCAGCGTGTGCATATACCTGTGCTACAGTTATTGAACCCTGAAACTGTAAATCCCACCATATCTTAGAAGCTAACATTTTTTAAATTATAGGAAATCATAAAACCTTTTGTCACAACCAATACTTATTTTTGGTATAATTTCAATATTGGTTACATTAGTGGAGAGCTATTATTCTCCTAGTACTGGTAGTGTTTCTTTAATGTTGTGTTCTGTGAACCTTGTGATAGAGTCACGTAAGTAACATTGCCTTCTTTTATCTTCCAGGTGTTCATCTATATCATTGTGTCACCTCTCTGTGGTGGATTTACATGGCCAAGCTGTGTGAAGAAATAAGAAAGAAAAAGTTATCATTGACCAAGGGTGTGAAAGTGAAAGGCGATAAAGTCAATCCACGTGACTCATGCTTTTTACTACTCTCAGAAAGTATCTGCTAGTTTCTTTAATCTTCTTTTCACTTTTTTCTGGTGTTAATAGTATTATATACCTCTTGATTTATCTTTGTCCTACCATATAGTTTATTTTAATGAACTTCACATTGAACTATTATTTACCTGAGTATCTTTGAAGTGGCATTTATTTCTTTGGTTCTTTCAAGTAGAATCTTCTACTTAGAAAGACGTTTTTGTTTTTAACACACAAAGCTTTTGCCAAGGTAGAAACCACCAATCTTACAACCTGTCTGCTAAAACTGTCTGGGAATTTTGTATGTTCACACAAAATTATTGGGAGACAGATTGTATTGCTAACATCTTATGTTAGTCTCTTTTGTTATGGGAGAGTTTTAGGTGCTTCAAAATAATATAGATAATTTTGGGAATTGTAATAAATTGTTGGTGCTGCTTATATCCAGGAGCCCATACAGGTAATATATTTAGCATTTTTATTTCAGTGACGTGAAAATATTTTGCTAGCCCATTAGAAGCACAAGAATTATTCTTGACCTCCCAGCATATACTTTCTTAAAGGTCAATGAATTATTTATTCATACTGCAGATAGTTTAATATCTTCTGTTTCTCCATTACAAAGTTGAATTGAGATGGTGAATTAAGTAATTTGAGTATTATGGGTTTTACATACTACTTTTTCTTCTGTGCAAAATTGGGAGAAGCATATTGTTAATAAAATATGTAGCAGAGGATAGGGGAGACAAATACTTCTGGCTCATCAAAGACAAATAAGGGAGCCACAGTAAAAGTACAAACATTTTAGCCTCACAAAATGCAGTCATGTGGGAAGTTTTTGTTTTGTTTTGTTTTGTTTTGTTTTGTTTTCCATTCTGGGAAAAGCCAAACTGAATACAGTCAGAAGTCAACTCCAGGATTTGGATTTAACTTCTGTTGAATAATAATAGTTTTATCTTTCTTTGTGGTTTAACAAATTCTTTTATCTGCCTAATTTTGAATAATTGTAAAACATGAAAGAGAATAAACAGTATAATGATAGAGAAATAATACAAAATATCTTAACATACATTTAGTGTAGAATAAGAAAATTTGAATGTAATGCTGCTTCATCTACTCTGGCTTCAGTCATTTAGTAGTTGATGTCTATCTGAAATCAAGATATTTTTTGCCCTAGATGTAATTGCATTTACTTATCCATAGGTGAGATTAAAAATGAGTGATATTACATTTTATTCTTTACTCAATGAAACAATAAATTGTTTTGAATTCAGCCAACTGTTTAGCCTAGTCATGTGCCTTGAATATGTCTGTATATGTTCTATATCAATTTCTTGGTACCTCTTCTTCCATGTTCATGCTACCTGTTTCATTTAGTTGATATACCTAATGCTCATAGGAATTCTTTTGTTCATCAGTGATAGCACAATGTTATTTCTAGACATTTCTATGAGCACTAATTCATTGTAATTATATAATTACTTCCTATTAGAAAATGCATTCATTCTAAGAAAAAATTGACATTCCCAAGTAATAAATTGAAAGCTTAAATTTTATTTCCTTTTCTTATACCTACTTGAATATAATTTATGTGCATGTTTTAGGGCTTACTTACTTAAATGTTCCTTGCTCTATTTATGTATAATAATGCTTTTTACAGCACGTCTCATTCTAGATGATGAACAAATTGAAGACATTAATAAAAGTTAAGAATAATTACATTGAGTGTCTTGTTTTAGACGTTTTACTATAGTTTTATTTAAAGACATTTAACGATTTTGTGTAGAGCAAAATAATTTTGTTTACATTGAGGATAAACCGAGAAATGTAACCTAACTGTTCTGTGACTATGTAAAGCATAGAGATTAATTCCTGAAACCAGGGTTGGGAAGACAGGTCTTGGCACTCCTTCTACTTTGGGTGTTAAGTGGTCTGTTAAAAGGAATTGTGCAGTGAATGAGAGTCCTTCAAGCTCTCTTGCTTTTATTTGGAATGTATAAATGAAGAGGGACCTATGTAATAATTGAGTTCACTGACCAACTTTAAAGCAGGTGTAGTGACAGCAGAGAAAGGAGTGGGTAAGAAAGAGGGTGACAATTTTCCTGCTGTGACAGTGCAAGAATATGGATATAGAACTGAACTTTTGTGAGACCTAATTACTGTAGTTACTCTAGTTCAACCAAAATATAAGATCTGGATAAGATGGTGTGTCCCCACCTAACAGTACTATTATTTTCCAGGTTTAAGATATTTACAGCATGAAAGATGTGGTCTTGGTGTGCTGTAATACAAATCCCCACCCAATCTCTGGAGCACATGGCCATAAAGCCCGTTTCAACTTTTAACAATTTTAACACCTTCTCTTTCCTGCCTCCAAGTCCAAGTATGCCAGTCATTATAGGCTGGGCCTTAACTGGTCATTGAGAAAGAAGAGACAGGAGAATGAGTGTTTTAATGAAGCCCAGGCATTTATTGGGGAGTGGCTACACAGAAGCTCTTGTGTATAAATGTGAACTAATTCTTCACACATTCATGGTGGTCACAGCACAGAAAGTGAGGGGCAGGAAGGAGCCTTAAATTTTTCGATTTGTCTACAGTTTGGATTACCAATGTGCAGTTAATCTGTTATCGGTGCTCTACTGTCCCAAGTAGCTACTTCTTGGGCTCCACAGACTAGGTTCCTTTACTGTGAAATTGACATATCGCCATTGAAATGTTAGGTCTGTGCCTAGGACAGATGACTGAAGTTTCTGTCCTGCCCAGTCCCACAGCTGTTCATTCCCAAATAAACACAGAGACTTATATTATGCACTATTTGGCCTATAGTTTGGGCTTATTTCTAACTAACTTTTGCATCTTAAATTAACCCATAATTCTTATCTATGTTTAGCCATGTGGCTTGGTACCTTTTCTCAGTAAGGCATTCTCATCTTGCCGCCCCTGAGTCTGATTCGAGGCTACTTTTCTGCTTTTCCTTTTCCCAGAATTCTCCTAGTCTGGTAGCCCCACCTAAACTTCATGCCTGGCTACTGGCCAGTCAGAATTTTATTAAACCAGTACTTTATAAAAAACAAGAACATTATCCCACATCAGACAGATTCTAGTCTCTTGACCAAGGGATTTTTTTCTCTTAACAGGCCTTCTTTACTACATTTAAATTTCCTCCTTCTTAGCCCCTATGGTCACATAGCTTCAGAGACGAGAACTCCCCAAATACTTTTGACATCTGTAACACGAGTTCTAATAGGTCTTAATAATAAAAGCACAAAGTCATTTATCAGGGTAAAAGCTGAAGGAACAGGGATGTGAAGGAACAAGCCACAGCTACACCTTATCTCCTAAACTTCCCAGCTGAAAAGATTGCCAGTTACTGTCTCCTCCAGCCTATATTTCTTTCTCTGATCAGCCATCTCACTTCCTGTCT